ACGTGTGTGTGTGTGTGTGTGTGTGTGTAAAACTCCCCACATGATTCTGATGATCAGCCAAGTTTGGGAACCAGAGGTCTATCCTGACTCCCTAATTTTACAAGCACAAGGTAGGTTAAGTGATTTCTCCAGGGTTACCTAATCCATTAGTGACAAAGTTAGGACTAAAAGACAGCCCTCCTGGCTCTCAGCCTAGCCCTCTGCTTTGTCCTGTCCCTTCTGCTAGAACTGGTCCCCGGGCCTGCCTTTCCAAATCCACAGCTACCCTGGTCAGGAAGTGAGGTGGGCTCACTTCTCCTTCATCTGCTGGTGGCAGAGAACTCACGTCTCCTCCCACTTCCTCAGAAGCCGAGAGTGGCTTCTGCTGTGGCCTGGTGGCCCACAGGCCAGCCTTCTGGAGTCCACCATCACTTTGCCTCATTCAGTCAGCAGCTGCTCAGCATCCCTGGGCCAGGGCTGAGCAGCCTGGTCTGGGGGAGGAGGGGGTGCAGAACGCCCCCCTTACAGAATGGGGAGCTGTGTGTGACTGGGGTGTGGACACTGTGCTCTGAGGAGGGGGCCTCGCCAGGGCGGGATGGGGAGCGGGGAGGGCTCCACGGAGGGTGACTTCCGTGCAGGTGACCAGCTGTCCAACCCCTCCTCGTGGCTCGTCATTGCCGCCCTTATGTCAGCATGCTCACAGGGCAGCTTCCCTCCTATGTCGAAAGAGACGCCTCCCTGGCGGCCCGGCCCCACCCATAGTCCCTGGTTCTGCTCTTTTCCTCTCTACTCAGCTGCCCACCCAGTGCGTGCTCATGCCCTCCTCCCATGCGGCCCAGCTAATCTGCAGTCACCTGTGCTCTGTGAGTCACTGCTGTGTGAACTTTTCTTCTCAGTACCAACTGCTTCCTTCCCGAACTACAGCCACTTTTGTTCCAGTTCTGCAAGGCTTGTAAATCCAGTGATTTATAGCTCTCCTGAAATGATTTCCCTCCCCTGCTCATCCCGGGCCTGATGCTTGGTGGCAGGAAGTCCGTTTTTGCCCATTTAGTGACCGCCCCGCCCCCCGCCAGCGTGTGGTCTTTCTCTCCTCCAGCTGATACAGCTGAACTTTACCTTCAGTGTACATAGTACCCAACATGATTTTATAACCAAGGCTGGTAAATGACGTCATAGCCTTTGCAGATTTCAAGATCTTTTAAACTATTTTTAAATGCCCATGGCTGTTTTTAATTTACCAGTCGTTGCTGAGGGCCTAGTGACTGAAGACGCAGCTGTTGTTAGTCATATAAATAAAAAAAGAGCAGAGCGCTCACTGGGGGTGCCAAGCACATGGGACTTCGCTGCCATCCTTGAGTGTTGGGCCCTGTGAAGGGGCCAGCATGGCCTTGGTTTAGAGAGGCACAGAATGCTGCTGTGTACTGATGCCGGGAATAATGAAAGCCCTTGTGTAGAGGTGGGGGGCAGGGGCAGGGGGCGGTCAACTTGCTGAGCTTACTTCTAGGAAAAAAGCTTGTCTTTTTTTCCTAAGAATAGTATCTGGCTTGTTCCTTTTCATAAAGGAAAATGTTTGAAGTACGGATGTTTCCAGTCTGAGCTTCTCAGTGTCAGTGTGTTCCTGGGGCAGCACCACACTGCAGAGGGGGGCAGGAAACAGTCTTGGGTAGAGAAGAAGCCGAACTCAGCACAGTGGCCTTGGCCACTAACCAGTGCCATCCACTTTATACACCATCTGCAGTTTTATGTTCCATTTGTGAACTTGTTGCTGAAATGGACAAGGAGTCACCTGAGTTTTTCTCTTTGTAGTGTTTCTATTTCATAAAAATGCTCTTTGGTTTTGATATATTAATCTTCATCTCTTTTGATCCAGTTTTCCTTTGGTAAGCCAACCCTTCCTGAGGGTCTGATCCTGTCAATAAGTGCACAAAGTTGGGCATTCTCTTCATTTCTCACAAAAGGGAACTGAAGCTCAAAAAGGTGACATAACTAGCTCAAAAAGGTGACATAACTTGCCCAAGGCTCTGCAGCCTGAAGTTACAAAATATAGATTCAAACTCCAGTGGGCTTGACTCCCTGGTCTGGAAGGCATTCACCTGAAATCCAGAGTGGACAACATCTGGTTGCTCCTTATTATGCCCTTGCATTCTGCATTAATCTGTCATTCTGTTTATTCTATAAAATTATCCATCCACGTAAACCCTACAAAGTTTAGAGGTTTGTCGAGCTGTCATTTTGAAAGCATGCAAAGGATAAGTTTTCAGATGTCACCTGAGAGGTGACAGATCTGAGTTGGGGTATGGAGTGTGTCTATTTATAGACCACCATAATTAGGTAGAATTTGTGGCCCATCCAGAAATAAAGCCAGAAATGTGTTGTTAATGTCCTGCCGGGTTCTGCAGTAGTCAAACTTGAGGTATCATAAAGATGACATACATACATACATACATACATACATACATACATACATTTATTTATTTATTGCTGCGTTGGGTCTTCGTTGCTGTGCACGGGCTTTCTCTAGTTGCAGCGAGTGGGGGCTACTCATGGTTGCAGTGCACAGGCTTTTTATTGCAGTGGCTTCTCTTGTTGCAGAGCACGGGCTCTAGGCACGCAGACTTCAGTAGTTGTGGCACGAGGGCTCTAGAGCTCAGGCTCAGTAGTTGTGGCACACAGGCTTAATTTCTCCACGGCATGTGGGATCTTTCCGGACCAGGGCTTGAACCCGTGTCCCCTGCATTGGCAGGCGGATTCTTAACCACTGCACCACCAAGGAAGCCCAAGATGACATTTTAATAATATGAAAAATGGCACTCTTACTAAAGATATCTGGAAACTTAATGATTTCCCTGCTTTTTCTATTTATATTTTTTTCCCAACTCTCTATTTCAAGGAACAGGAAACCTTTAGAGTGGGTTTTTTGGTTAGCCCCAAAGGTTATATCTTATGATATCAGTAGACATCCTTCTTTGAAGGATGTCACAATCTAAGATGCCAGACAAGTTTCATTTCATGATTTTTTAGAGTAACCTATTTGGGGAAAGCCCAAAATAAGTTTAGAAAATAAGAATTTAGTTTTATTCAGCTATAATTAAAATAGCCAAGTTAAAGAAATAAGGTTCAAACTCCAAATCATAGTATTATGGGATAAATGCACAAAGGTAAGTAACAAGGCAAGTTTACTGCAGGCCCCACCCTTTATAAGCACATGCTGCCCAAGGATAGCAAAGGCTCCCACCCACCTGGAAACCTTCATTCAGTAAAAAATGAGTCAACATTTGAGGAAGGAACAACTTAAAATGAGAAAGAAAAGGAGAGGTCATTGATTTGGGGGGTTTACTATATAGTTCTGTGCAATTTAGTTTCGTCTTCAAAGTGTGTTCTCCTCTTAGTCACGTGTAGCGTGCAGGGGCAGCATTCTGGTCTGTCTGCACCGCACCACCTATTCCTTCTGGGGAGAAGTTAGACATTTTGAAATTCACCACATGGACCCAGGCTAAGTTATGTAAAAATCATTCTACAATGGCTGATGACTATCCCTTTGATGCTTAGTCCTCCAGGGGGCATTTAAAAATAGCTCAGTTGGCAGCCCCAAGCTACTGGGGATGTGTCAGTACTTGTGTCCACCCAGGAGAGCCTGTCTCTTTGAAGGCCACCATCAGATGACTGGGTAGGCCCCCTCACATGCCCTTTAAGGCTCTTCAGAATCATATGTGCTGTTGGTGCCAGCTTTGATTTCAACAGAATAACAAACCTCCAAGTGGGAGCCAATCAGCTGTATCTTGAAGCCTCACACTCTTACCACCCCATGGGTTCATCTTCTGGGTCTTTAGTTTAGGAACTGAAATTTTTGTATCATAGTAAACCCAATTTTAAAATGTGCTGACCCCCAGGGACTTCCCTGGTGGCGCAGTGGTTAAGAATCTGCCTGCCAACGCAGGGGACACAGGTTCAATCCCTGGTCCAGGAAGATGCCACGTGCCACGGAACAACTAAGCCCGTGCGCCACAACTACTGAACCTGTGCTCTAGAGCCCGTGAGCCACAACTACTGAGCCTGCGTGCCACAAGTACTGAAGCCCACGCACCTAGAGCCCGTGCTCCGCAACAAGAGAAGCCCCCACTCACCACAACTAGAGAAAGTCTGCGCACAGCAACGAAGACCCAACACAGCCATAAATAAATAAATAAAAATAAATTTATATATATATAAAATGTGCTGATCCCCAGAGGTTAAATGTTCTCTGCAGGTTTCCAGCTGGGCCTGCAAAGGTACAGATCTCCATCAGGTCATATTAAACCTGGGCAACTCTAAGGTTGCCCAGTGCAGAACAATGTATCCCAGCCTGACTTCCCCCACACGTCTCCCCAGTATCCAAATTCCATAGGCATTTCCATTCCTATTGTCCATGAGCACCTCAAGCTTCCAGCACTTGCTGCTGGGGGTTGCCCTCCAAGCCCACAGTGGAAATTCCCAGTATTACTCTGTGTACATGCTTCTCAGCCTTGGATATACAAACACTTGTCATGGACACAGTTAATGAGATTGTGTCAGAGTGTAGATGTGAACTATAAATCCCTGTTCGTTTAAAGGGGAGTACATCTTTTTCTGCTCATTGAGTTATTAGCCCAGAAAAAAATTGACATTTTGAGCCATTTGACTTACCCTTGGTCATCACCAAGGGTGATGAGTTGAGGCTTTTCTAGTTTTATATAAGGTGAAGAGTGAGTTGAACAAGACAACAATGTTCAAACGTTCCCCAGGGTGCAGTGTCATTCACTTGTGAATGAAGAACTTGGAACCCAAATTCATCATGTTCTATTTAAATATATAGAGTTTATTCATTATTCAGTAAGGACTAAATAGCCACAAGCCTCCCTGGCGTTACTACCCCTCCAGCTATAGGTCTTTGGCCATTAGTCAATAACAACATTTCTAGTCCCCTTTCTAGAGGACAAAGTGCATTCAAATACGTGCTCTCTCTCATCACCACAGCCCTGTGAGGTAAGGGCTGTAATCCCCAGGTTGTGGGTGAGCAAGCCGAGGCCGGGGAGGAGACAGCTTGCCCAGGGCTGCTCAGCGAGCGCGTGGGCAGCGGTGGCAGCGCCTGACCCGGCCTTCAAACACGCAGTCCCATCCTGCCCACCTCCTCTTTCTCCCCATCTTCTCCTTCCTATTCCTCTTCCTCTCAATTAATTTTCTCTTATTATAAAGAACAAAAGATCAGACTGTTTCTACCTCCTTCCCTGGACCATCGCCAGTTCTGGCCCCGGGTCCTGCATTTGTTTGGAGACACATCTTTGACACGTAAGGGCAGACACGAGCTTTTCAAGTTGACTGGGGATTTCAGCCACCCAGGCTGCCCCTTGTTTACCAGGAGTCCTTAGAAAATCACAAGGCACCGTCCCGCTAGAAGACTGCAGTCTTTGCCCACATTCTGCGTGGTGTTCGCAGTGTGTGTACCATAACGTATCCATTTTTTATGTATGGGGAGGGAAGAGTACATGACCTTTCCAAAGCTTCCCTGTGAGTTAGGAACGATCAGAAGCCAAACCTCAAAGTTGTTCCATAGGACATAGTTCACTTTGAATTCCAGATTTCAGCAGCTTCAGTACGATTTTTAATTCATACCCACAAAAAGCAGTTAATTCTATAAGATAGGGAATGAGGCAGTAAGATAGTTAAATGCTACTGCCAGCTTGGCATCTCCTAACTAGTTACATGACCTTGAGTAAGTCATATGAACTTCCTGGAACCAGGAATTCAATCAGATATAGGGAGCCCCTTCCAGATTTAATACTCTGTGATTCTAAGGATTATAATTTACCTTGTAACTTGATAAGCTTCTTAAAGGCAGGGCCCATGCATAGAATCTGACCCTGGGTTATGGTCTTAGGATGCCCAGGGAAGGGCAGGAGGGGGAGGCCATGCAGAGCCAATACAACAGGGGACTTCCACGAAACAGGCCAGTAGTTGAGGCTGAGAGCAGCCTGCAGCATGAGCAGGTCACCTGAGGGTCATGACTCAGGTAGAGCCAGGCAGGTGGGAGGAGGAGGGAGTTGAGGCCTGGCACAGGAGCTGCCCCAGTTATGTCAGGGCCCTGGAGGCCTGGCGTCCAAGGTTGGCCCACTATCCAGCAGCCTGTCATCAGCGGTGAGCACCATGAGGACAGGGATGAGGGAGCAGGTGCCAGGCGATGGGTGGAGGGCTGTGGCAGGGGCACATCACCTGCAGCCCAGCCCAGGGAAAGCAGGCCCCTGGGGACCAGGCGGTGTTCAAGAGCAGGGTGCCATTCCCAGGGGAGCTAGGGGCTGGGTGGGGAGTCAGCCTTAACCTGCGCAGGGGCCTGGCAGTTCCCAGGTACTGGGAACTGATAGGTGGGGAGGGGGCTTGGGGAGCTCTGCAGGGACCTGGCAGCTGCCCCAGGCCTGGGCTCTGGGAAGGGGTCTTGGAAAGACGCCCTCGTGGATGGGAAGCTGACCAGGTAGTGGGACTTCCTGCTTCAGCTGGGATGGGCTCCAGAGCAGGGCAGGCCAGAACACGGAAGAGAGAGGGGTCCACAGGCCCAGTCCAGAGGATCCAGGAGAGCCGAGGCCAAGGAAATGATGCAAGGACAGCTGATAACAGCTGGTTCTCCCCGGTGGAATATGGCGGCCCTGCCAAGGCCTTCGGACCTACACAGGGCCGTCCCCAGCCTCATCCAAACCAAGCCAGGCATTCAGTAACCAAGGCAAGGAAATTACCAGTCTTACTAGTTTTACCACTTATTCATCATATCCTCAGGAATGCAGTTAAAGCCCATCGTTCTAAATAAAAGGATTCCCAAACCTTGGAATTCTCTGGTTATCTTAAAGAATCGTGTAAATATTTTAAGCTGTTTTAATTTGAAAAGTAAATAAGTTTACTATTCACTTTGTTATAAAGCAGAAACTAACACACCATTGTAAAGCAATTATACTCCAATAAAGATGTTTAAAAATAAATAAATAAATAAATAAGTTTACTAGTGACAGGAAGGTTTAGAAGCATCTCTCCCAACCTATACTTGTAGCAATAGGCAGCTCAGTGTGTGCTTATGTTAAAATGACCTTTATGTAGTTGGAGAAGTTAGCGTTGTCTGGTCCGAGCCTGTCAGCATTTGCATTATGCACTTAGTTTAGAGTTCAAATCTTAGCAAAATGTTTTTGGCTGTGCCCAGTGTATGTCCATACACAGAGGCCCTCAGCTGAGCCATGGGATGTTTCTGCTTACCCCCTTTATTCAATTTCCATTCTTCCACAAGATTATAGCAGACGTCTGCTTTCTTTAATAGGATTTTCCATAGCTACACAGTCATTTTCTTTTTGTAATCACTGCCCTGTTTTTCATCTTTTCTTATTTTAGTTATTTTCTTGACTTCTAAATTACTCTGTAGAACTCTAGGTATACAAAGAGAACTTTTTTTTTTAACATCTTTATTGGAGTATAATTGCTTTACAATGTTTTGTTAGTTTCTGCTGTACAAAGAGAACTTTTGTAATGAGTGTTTCTTAACATCCTAAAGTTGGAAATCAGTAGAAGGGTGGAAATGTTAGGGAAGGAAGTGACAAAAGCCAACTAGAGCCCTCCCAGCAGGATTAACCACCCTTCGGGTAACAGTGCCAGGCCTGCTACCCCTGGGTGACCAAGGTTTCTGGGGCTCCCCCCTCATGTACCAGGGGTCCCTCTCTCAGACAGAGCTTCTGCTGTCTGGCCTGGCACTAGGCAGCTGGTCTTGTGCAGAAAGGACTTCAGTGATCTCGGGGCCTAAACTGTCCACGGGGAGGTTATGGGTGTTCTCATCTCACTGTTCACCGGGCACAGATTTCCATGCAGATCAGCCATTTCCATCAGCCTCCAGCTTCATTTGCTGGTGCTTCCGTGCACTGGCCCTGGTGAAACTTTCTCTTAGGTCTTCTGAGGTTTATCACCAGAACCAAGGTCTTTCCCACTCAGGTGCCCCCATACCTTTCCCCCTGGTCCTTGCCCTCCTCCTGTCCTGAGCGCCATGACTTTGCGGGGATGCCTGTTATGTGCTGTGATGCATGTAAGATGCCATCTTGTTTGTCCTTCTCTGGTGCACTTCTAAATGGCCCATCCTCACTGACATATACCCCTTCAGGTACATGCCTACATCATCAGCCACCTGAAGAAGGAGATGCCAAGTGTATTTGGAAAAGAAAACAAGAAGAGAGAGCTCATCAGCAGGTTGCCAGAAATCTACACTCAGCTGCAGCGAGAATACCAGGTTTCTGCAGGGGACTTCCCCGAGGTCAAGGCAATGCAGGTACAGAGGCCCGTCACAATGTCACCAGTGGGGATGGAGGGGCACAGCCACCTTGTCCGGCTGCTTGCTGGGTACACATTTGGGTTTCATGGTTTAGAATGGAGGTGAACATGGTAAATTCGTCTTCCTAGTAATACATGATAATAGACTCCTGTGAATAAAGCAGAAATTGCTTGCTTCCTGAAACATTTAAACAAAAAGGGAGACATTTTGAGAAGTAAATTAAGCTCACCTGAAAAAAATCCTATGAACAGCTCCCTTAGGCTGTGTTCAACGTTGTTTTGGCACAGAAGTGACACCTGTTTTTTAGAATCCCAGAACCTTAAGGGAATTAGAGCTGAGAGTGACCTTGGAGGTCACTTCCAGGGGCCTCCTGAAGCCAGCCCTCCCCCGCGCTGCCCTGCACTGTGGGATTACGCGCTCGGGCAGCGTCGCTGCTGCGGGCTCAGTCAGAGGCCGTGGCGGGCTGTGGCCACGGCAGGAGTTCACCAGTCACAGCAGGCTGTGCTCACTGAAGAGTTTGCTTAAAGGTCAGCTTCAGGCAGCCTTTGGCCTAGTTTCAGAGTCTCCCTGACATGTGTCTGGGCAGCCCCAGGTGACCCCAAGTGGGTGCTGCCACCCTGGCCTGACCCGTGTGTCCACCTCCCCGCCGTGGTGTTAGGTGACCTTGATTTCGACGCTGACCATGCCCTCCCGAGCGAGGCCGCCTCACCTGGCTCCTCAGAGAGCCTGACCGACCATCTCCTTGTCTCGTGCAAGGACCCATCTGCCCTGGAGGCCACAGCCGTCTCTGGAAAGCAGGCAACACAACTCAGATGCCTGCAGCCACCAGCCAGAAGTAACTCAAACAAGTGAGGCAGGCAGGCCACGCCAAAGGAAATTGGGGTGCCCCCTCCGACCACCTCTTGTTTTCTCACATTTGGTAGAGATGTGGGTCCTGAGAAACACATCCCTACCGGGAGGAAAACAATTCTGCAAGTGCAGTGAGTGAGGACTTGCGGGGCGCACGGTGGGGGCAGACTGGGGAGTGTGTGCCCTGCCCACCTCGGTAGGGAGGCCCCATCCTGCCCAGCGGTCGCTGCCCCGTGGGAGTGCAGGCCTGGATATTTCACGAGAAGCTGGAGATCTGGATTTGTATGTAAAGTACCCTGGTTTTCAAATTTTGGCTCAGAATTTCAAAGAATCTACATGGGCCAAAGAGAGTGTACAGCATACTGACTGCACCCTGGAGACTCTGGGCCTGTGAGCTGCCAGCCTGCCTGGGGTGGGGATGGGGGTTGGTTTGGGGGGGAGGGTCAGGGAGGAGGAAGCACAGGTGCAGAGGCAAGATCAGGCCGCAGGAGGGGAAGCATTGATCCTAAGGGGTTTGTTAATGTAAACTCTCTGTACATAAAGTACACACTGAAATAGGAGTGGGTTACACTTACTGCTGTGATGCCTGGGATCAGGGTGAATGCATCTGGTATATACGATCTAGTCAAATATGATTTAGTTGGCTTAAAAAAATACATAGGGGCTTCCCTGGTGGCGCAGTGGTTGAGAGTCCGCCTGCCGATGCAGGAGACACGGGTTCGTGCCCCGGTCCAGAAAGACCCCATATGCCGCGGAGCGGCTGGGCCTGTGAGCCATGGCCGCTGAGCCTGCGCTCCGCAACGGGAGAGGTCACAACAGTGAGAGGCCCGCGTACCGCAAAAAAAAAAAAAAAAAAAAAAAATACATAGAAACACTGTTTTTTTAGAAGTAAAGTTGATGTTCCTGTACTCAGAGGATGAATTGGATTTTTTTCTGGTCACAAGATGGCTAATTTGAGGGCTCCTGGGGCCTCTTCCTGGGCAGGTTCTGCTTTCACACCCTTGGGTTATGCCCTGTACCCCATGACCAAACTGAAGGACAACTGTTTCCTGGCATCCTTCAGATACTTTGGAAGGGAAATTGGTTTCCTGACTGAAATGAAAGCTGTGAGTAGATACACAGTGCTCACGATGGCCTGATGGGACGTCTGTGGCTCATTGGCCTCCTGAGGCTCTCTTGATGCCCGACCCACAAGGTGCAGCTCCCGAGACCTGAAGTCTCCCTGACAGGCCTCCCCTGCCCATCTCCAGGGAGCTCCTGAATGGAGGGAGCAAACTGTGACCAGAGCTACTCCTTACCATGCAAGCCTGGGCCTGGCCGGTCAGAGGGCATCCAGGCCTCTCAGAGCTGGTCACAGGGGCAGTCCCTCACCCCAGGTCTCGGGAGCAGCCTTGGTCCATGTAGCCGGGCAATACAGGGAGGGCCTGAACCTTCACTGAGAACCCTGTGGTTATAGGCACCGCACCAGGCGCCTTGGCCCCTTCATTGGACTCCTGCGTGCCCTGGGACTGGGAGCAGGGGTCCTACCTGCCGGGTGCCTACAATCCACACAGTCCTACCATCATCTGTGTTCATTTGTGCATTCACCTAAGAATAGTAATTAAGTCTACTATGGCCAGGCACCGTTCTAGGCCCCTGGAATAAATCATTGAACAAACAGCAAAAATAAAAATCCTTGCCCCCACAGAGGTCCATTCTGGGTTACAATCTTTGCTGCTATGACTGTAACTGGCAGTGACGTTTTGGCAGCAAAGCCCCTTGTTGGGACTTGTGCTCCTTGTTACAACATAAGTGTCTCTGTGCTTTGGTATAATTCATTTACTCAGTGTCTTATTTAGTGTCTCCCGTAGAAGGCTGTAATTCCATGAAGCCAGTGACCCGTGTCCTGTTCTCGGCCATATCCCCAGCCCCTGGGGTGTAGCAGGTACTCAGTGAATACGTGTTGAGTAGGTTAATTAATAAGTTAGTGTATGTTTATATCGTAGCAGGCTCCAGGGTAATGAGTTTCTCAGACCCTGACCTAGGTCTGACTCCCACAGGGCTTATAGACCAGTGGTTTCTGGAGCAAACCCCTGGAAGCTGGCTGAGGATTCTTCCTTGGGAAGCCGGCTAGGCCCTGATAATACCACCCCAGTCCTTTCAGGGAATCCCCAGGGAGCAAGGCAGGCCTGGAGCCCAGAGGGTGTGCTCACTACTTCAAGCTACTTTGCTGTCACCCAGGAAGCTCTGGGGGTTCCTGGTGTGGGTCAAGGTCTCCATCATCCCTGAGTCTGTTGAGCATCTGACATCTTCCCCAACACAGGCATTCAGCCTTACTGTGTCTGGGACAGCGGCAGGGGCAGAAGCTTGGAGATGACTTGATTATGATCTTTGCACATCCCAGGATCTCACGGAGAGCTCACCAGGGCCGGCTTTAAGTCTCTGTTCTCCAAGCTGGTCAAGGTGACTCTTCACCGTAGCAAAGAGCCAATTGTATTTTGCAGGCTTTTGCCCGGGGCCTGTGTCAGCCCTATACCCATTGGGGAGGGAATCTGCTTTGCTGCGCTGATGTGTCCGTGCTGCAGAATGAGGAAACGCTAGCAAAGCCACCTTGATTGCTGATGCAGTGGTCCTCCTTGGAGAACTGGGACACAGACCTACTAGAGAATGGACTTGAGGATATGGGGAGGGGGAAGGGGAAGGTGTGACAAAGTAGGAGAGTGGCGTGGACATATGTACACTACCAAACGTAAAATAGATAGCTAGTGGGAAACAGGCGCATAGCACAGGGAGATCAGCTTGGTGCTTTGTGACCACCTAGAGGGCTGGGATAGGGAGGGTGGGAGGGAGGGAGATACAAGAGGGAAGAGATATGGGAACATATGTATATGTATAGCTGATTCACTTTGCTATAAAGCAGAAACTAACACACCATTGTAAAGCAATTATACTCCAATAAAGATGTTAAAAAAATAATAAAATAATAAAATAAATTCTTAAAATAAAGAAAACATTTCAACAGCAGAGGGCGGCAGAGTCATCCCTATCTGCTCAGACCCTCCCAGTGAATTCAAAAACAGCTTCTAGTACAGGCTGGGAGTGAGCAGGCAAGGGAGAGCCCAGAAGAGGCTAGGCTGGGATTGGCCTTTGTCTCTTGGGAGGGAATTCCAGGAACCCGCGCTTGGTGGCTTTGGTGCATACAGTTGTTGATGGGTAACTCTTTAAATTCTCCAGTGTGTGTTCATCGCAATAAAAAGCTTTGGAGCCATCCTGGTGGAGGACAGGGATGGTGTGGTTTAACTTGGACCCCACCCCCCTGGCCAGGGCTGGGCAGGCGGGTACCACACGGATGAGAGTGTAGGGCTTACTTCCTGTGTGCCCTCCGGGGTGGGAACGGCTGCTGCCGCTGCTTCCTGTCCACCCCTGCAAATATGTGGCCGTTTCCCCTGGCTAGTTTTCCAGAGGTTTGCAGTCTGAATCCATGTCCCCTGCAGGCGGGTGGAAAGTTCGGGTGGGCACCGCCCTCATTTGTCCACTTGGCCGGACACAGAGGCTCTGTGTGTGCCCAGAGCTCAGGCTCATTCATGAGGAAATAGGGTAGGTGTTCATGCACCCAGGGGAATCCAGACTTGTTTACCCCAGCAGCACTGGGATTTTTGTGTAGGCTGCCTGCTCCCCTCCTCCTAGGCTTTCTCTTCTCAGTTCCCTTGGCTGACCGAGGTGCCGGCAGCAGGACCCCAAAGCGTTAGCGGCATTGTTTGGTGCTGATGTTGGGATGACATGCAGGTGACTGTGGTCTGTCAGTGAGGATGGAGGACATGAAAACTGGAATGTACCTTAGAAACCAGGCCTGTGCTACCCAACCACTCTGAGCTGAGCTCAGGCTGAGTGCTGGGTGGCAGCCCAGGCCAGCCTGCTTTGACAGCCACAGAGTTGGCTACTGAGAAGAGTGTTGGGGGCACCTCTCCAAGATATGTCAGGCTGTTTTGCTTTCCGCTCTGTCCTCTCCACCATCTAAAGCTCAGGGCTCCACTTCAGAATAACAGCCTAGAATGTCTGCCCTGCCAGCACACCCTAGAGACCACAATTTTGATTCTCCATTGGAAATGACCTAAACTTCCAATTACATGGACAGGGTAAATGAGGAAAGGCCCAGCTATACAGTTCAATATCATATAGCTATTGAGAATAAGTTTATTTGTCTATTATATATATATTAATGTGTATCTGTTAATCCCATTCTCCTAATTTATCCCTCTCCCTTCTTCCCCTTTGGTAACCATAAGTTTGTTTTCTGTATCTTGAGTCTGTTTCTGTTTTGCAAATAAGTTCATTTGTATTATTTTTTAGGTTCCACATATAAGTGATATCATATGGTATTTGTCTTTCTCTGTCTGACTTCATTTAGTATAATAATCTCAAGGTCCATCCATGTTGCTGCGAATAGCAATATTTCATTCCTTTCTGTGGCTGAGTAACAGGTTTTTACTGTATAGCACAGGGAACTATATCATATCTTGTAATAACCTACAATGGAAAAGAAACTGAAAAAGTATATGTATATATACACCATTGTAAAGCAATTATACTCCAATGAAGATGTTTAAAAAAAAAAAGTATATGTATATATGGGGCTTCTCTGGTGGCGCAGTGGTTGAGAGTCCGCCTGCCAATGCAGGGGACGTGGGTTCATGCCCCAGTCCGGGAAGAGCCCACATGCCGCAGAGCGGCTGGGCCCGTGAGCCGTGGCCGCTGAGCCTGCACGTCCGGAGCCTGTGCTCCGCAACGGGAGAGGCCACAACAGTGAGAGGCCCGTGCACCGCAAAAAAAAAAAAAAATATATATATATATATATATATATATGTATATATAAAACCAAATCACTTTATATTTATATAAAACTGAATCAATGTGCTATATACCTGAAACTAACACAATATTGTAAATCAGCCATACTTCAATTTAAAAATTAAATCAAATTAAAAAAATTTTTTAAAGGTTGTATAAAAATTGATATCATGGAAAGCTGTGATACATTATTTCTTTAAAATGCAGGTTGTTAAATAGTGTGGTCTTATTTCAGTTAAAGAGTGTGTGTGTGTGCACGTGTGTGTGTGTGTTTGTAAAAATGGCTCTAAACGTATGCCCAAAAATGTTAGCAAAAGTCATTGCTGGGTGATGGTATTATAAGTGATTTAAGATTCTTATTTTTGTTTACTAGTTTTTTCCCCAATTTTTTACAATGAAAGTGTAATATTTATGGTAGCACCAAGTTTTGTTTTTTCTTAACTCCCTGTCCCATTACTTCTGTCCAGAACAGTCAGGTCTGAGGGGAATGTGAAAGCTCTTTCTCTTGAGAGCCTCCCTGTCTCATCTCCAGAAAACTGCACACCTGGCTGGCCCCTCTCTGGCCCTCTAGGATTGTCCAAACAGAAATACTTCATGTAGGGTCCATGTAAAAACTGCCATACCTGGAATTCTCTGCGTTTGTTTGGCAAAACTGCTGTTAAGACATTTTCACTAGATCTTTGAGGCCCCTTATACAATTGCCTAAGTGACTTCCACAGTTCAGGGCCAGAGAAGGTTTTGTGATGAACAGGTTGGTTTCTCCCCTCCGACAATGAGGTGTGACCGCCCC